TTTTTTTAAGAGAAGAGTACTGAGTATTAAGTGAAAGATGAAAGATTATAAAATGTTAATAACTTTTAGTTTTGAGTAGAATGATGATTAATATATATATACATATATTTAATGTAATTAATACTAAATGTATACTCAATATTGTGAAATAGTAATGAGTAATGAAGTAAGATTAGCTGTTTCAATATTTGATGTACCTACTCAAATATATATTTAATGTTTTGGGTATATATCTGCACAAGTCAACATGTATAATATGTTTTAATTATGTGGTAATGCATGGTACTACGGTGAAATAGATGCATATTGGATGTATTATATTAAAACTATATTTCTATAAAATGCATAACATACCTTTACATATTGGACAATTTAAACAGCAAAGCCGTATGAAAATTTAACAATATCTGTTTTAATATACATATATATATGAAATATCTGAACCTCAATAATTAATTAATTAGAAAACTGTTATGAAATCGTATACAGATATAACAAGAAGTGTATATCTTTGTTCCGATTGCGATAGTCGTCTACCTAAATATAATAGAGGCAAGAGATATAAGATTCTTATAGTAAAAATGAAATAAATATTAAAATATTTAAATAAATTTTATGAACAAAATAATAAATAGTATATCTGGCTTATAATTCACTTATTTACGTACCGTATAGTATCGTATACCCAGTAGCGTATTTACAAATAATTTTTAGGGGGGTTGTCTTCATAATTTTTTTTTATAAATCAGTATAAAATGGTTAATATTAAATTGTTATCTGTTTTATTATCTTCTTATTGAAAAACATAATTTCATTAATTATAAACTATCTATATGATAAACTCTAGTATTCTTTTTTTATTTGCCAATTCGTCAATAACTCCATCGGTAGTAATGTTTAAATTTGGATGAATCGTTAACATGGTAAGGCCATTACGTAGTTTTATCCAACTATCTTCATAATTAGTAGACAACAATTTCCTGCGAACTACAGGCTTCATTAGCCTGAGAAGTGTATTATGTGTTTTGACTTACAGAGTCAAAAACACCAATATTATCGTATCCGGGTTTTATTAATTTTTATAAACTATAGTTTTATAAAATTAGTAAAATTTATAAATTATAAAATGTTTTCTTTATTCATATTTAAAAATTAAAAAACTTCAAATTGATCGAAATTTAAAAATTTGAGATTTGGAAGTTCTCTTGGGGGATGAAAATTCCTAACACCCTCTTTTAAATACCAATTATCATGTAGTATGCATTTTTCATGGTGAAGTGGTATGTATTGATGAAACACAAAAAAAAAAGGGAGTTCGGCCATATACGGCCACTGGCCTTTGCAATTTCAATTATTTTCTTGTTAACTATAAGTAAATAAATTAAACATAATTTTAATTCCCGACTTTTTAAGGTATAAATTTTTTCATTTTTATTTAGGAAATAATAAAATATATTTATATCACAATGTTCTCTCGATTATCTACGGAATATGGTGGCATGACATCTATGAATTAGCAAATTTTGCAGATTATCCACTAAATTCAAATTAAAACGAAAATAAAATAGTTATAATATTAAAAAAATTAAATCTTGTAATTTTATATAATATCTAAGAAAAATTATTTTAGTATACATTTTTAATTAAAAATTCATATAATATGACGTATGATATTGATACTATTCATTTTTTAAAAAAATTTAACAAGTTTTTTTTAACACTTCTTTTTAACTTGCAATTTACATTTCTTTCGACAAATAACCTAATTGTAATTATGTATTGTATATAATTTAAAGAAATATTATTTGATTGTATGTACATGTGTATATGATTAGTTTCGTATAAGACCGCGAATAATCGAGAGTACACTGAACACACACATGTTTATGTTACTGTGAATGTCCACAATTAGTGAGTGCTGACAATCATCTAGTGAATTTTGACGTACACCTACTAAATTGGTAAATGTTGAAAATTCAAATAATATAAATAATATATAACTATAAGCTTAACAACAATAAAATCAAAAAAAAAAATAAAATATTGATTTTTAAAACAATAATCAATGAGTCATGACAATTAATATATCTATTGATGTTTCTATAAAACTTTAAACTACAAATTCCACTGCATATAATATAAACTATAATTTTGAGTGCGCAGTTATATTATAGTTATTATTAGTATGCATATTATATTTATAGTATTTATAGTAGAAAAAAAAAGTTTTATGGATAATTTTATACATCTTATTGTTTGTTAAAGATCTTAAGATTGTAGTAAAATCGAACAATATGCAATGTTAATGTAGACAATTTAAATGTACATACCTACTATAAGTGTATTTTTTCTATATAAAATATTTAGTATTTGATATTTATATGTAAACTATTTTTTTTTTCTATAAATAATAAAATACCACAAAACTGTCTTGTTTCATATATTTTATTTTAACCAGTATTATCCTGTGTATTTATTATTGGAAAAATTTCAGCCTGCTGACTGTCAAATAATTATTTTTTTTTTGTTTAAAAATGAAAAGTGTAGCTCGTACCTACACGCGAATCATGTGGAAATATAGCTTTACAATAAATTCACCCATAGCTTTTATTATAATCTTTTGATAAGTTTGTAGTTTAAACATGATGTGATTAACACAATATTGGGCACATCTTGCACTTTCATTTAAGTACATTTACAATAAGAACACTAATGCACATTTTAAGAACTTAGAAATTGCGAATAATCTGACTCAAAAACTATTACTCGGCATTGGCATTAGCAATTTACCTTAATATATATTATTAATAATATGATTTTATTATAATTTAACGTTTGTGAAAGAATTATGTATTTAAGAGTCAACGAGAAGAAATCGAGGTTACAATATATAATTTTATCTTGATAAAGTATCAATTTGTAGGTTAAAACGTTTGAAGTGTTTTGAACTAAGAATTTCGAAATTAATACAAAATATATTTAGTTAGTTAATGTTATTATATTATTTACATATCTTATACCCAACGTCATTACAGAAGTATTTAATAATTTATTTGTACTTAATTATTCTACATATTATTAACTTTATTGTTATTTTCTAATGACTATACTACTTACTGTGATGGATCTTAAACATGAATATGCATAAATTGATTGTTTTATGTTAATATCTTGTATGGAGCATGTACAGTTCGTTGTGATGTAATAAGTGTGTGCTACATAGAAGTAAAATCAAACGATATATTTTATTTGTACTCGGTTATTTTTGATGATCAAAGATATCATCTAGAAACTACTTAATTTATTGTTTGGCGTGTACTAATATAAATTTTAATAGGATAATATTGATGTTGTTGGACGATTCATTCGTATTGGAACCACGATTGATTCATGTACACTTAATTCAAACTTATGCGTTTTATTATAATGGATGAGATCGCGAGAGGTGAACAAATTAATAAGGTGAAACTTTAGAGTTATAGCTATTGGCTTACCTCAGCGTTCGTAGCACTTTCGCCAATATAGTTTTAAATATTTATTAACGACTTAGGTAATTTAGGGTTTGGCGAAGCACAAGTGGATGAAACGCTCCTAATGGCTTGAGGGGAATTATAGTTGCACGGAAGCCATTAACAAAACCCAGTTGCTAGTTACCGTGTTGATATATCTATATGCATTGTGGTACAGAATTGTATATTTCAAAGGTAGACTTTTTTGAATATTCAAAACACTTTTGTTCATTGACATTTCGAGTAACTGCCTATGCCATCGTGGAACAATCATGTTTCGATAACAATACAATCAAATTTTAAGACATGAAATGAATAGGTTACATTATACTAAAAGTTGATTTTTCAAATATTTAAATACTACAAAATATTTTAATCAGTTTTTTATATACATGTAAAACACGAAATCGTCATGAAATTAAATTCGAAGTCATTAAAATAAAAAACAAAAATCAATAAAAAATAATTGTTGGTCTTTATAAATCGTTTAGAGTCGATGAAAACATTATTCAAATAGCATAGAAAATAAATGAAATAAGTTTTATTACATTAAATGCTTTTATAAAAATGTATTCTAACATTGATTAAATATCTATCAAAATAAATACGTTTTTGTACAATTTCGTATTTACTATGAAAAATAAACGAATAATTTATACGTAAATCGTTTTGTAAGTATTAAATTTATAATTTTAATAGACATGAACCTACACATATTATATATATATCTAATGAGCTGTTTGGAGCGTTTACATTCACGGGGAAAGTTGTATGAACTAAAAACTAACTGGAAAAATAATTGCATTGATTATACATTTAAATATTTGTTTTTCTGCATTTTTTTTAGTCACCATCAAAAAAACTATAAATATTTAAGTGTTTTGAAAAAAATAATTTCATAATGATACGTTATTAATTGATAAAGGGAGGAAAATAAAAAATGCTGAATAATAAAAAGAGAAAGTACCAACACAGAAAATATATGATTAAAATATGTATTAGACAAAGCGTTTAATATAAAATTAAAATATAATTTTAACAAGTTAGCACGCACACACATATTATTATTATAAATCAACGTCCTTTTTAAGTAAACTGTCTGTTAAGTTAAATGTACATAAAATAAAAATAGTCAATAACAATATCTTATTTTTAACCTTACTGTTAGTTTCTAAAACAATCGAATTCCCTAATTCTTCTTTGTATAAATCTATCATTTCGTTTATTATCCAACAATATTATCTATACATTAACTGGTTACTTATTTTCATCGAAAAAAATCATAAAGTTAAAACTTGCCTGTACGATATTAGAGGTATCGATATAAATTTCGATATAAATTTTAGCTCGTTCGACAAAACGAAAGCTGCTCAGGGGAAAAATCAAACAAATCCGTGGGCCGACTCATGCAAAATGTTTCGAATACAACACGCGTAACGTGTAAAATATGATTATTCTAATACGTTTATTTTTGCGTTTGATTTGTTTTAGAACACTCGTGTACGTCTGACGAAAATTTATTGAAAACAAATTATACATAATCAAAAGCGATTAAAAAAAATAAAAATAAAAACTATGAGCGTAGACTGCGTATACACTAGTGCGGTAGCTTTGCTGCTGTGCTGTTCGGCCATCCTGGGTCGGCCATCGTCCAATGGTGGCGCGGACGGTGGTGGCGGCGCCGGCGGCGGTGGAGGAGGCGGTGGAGGCGGCGGTGGCGGTGGCAGCGGTGGCGGCAGTAGTGGCGGCTCGGCAGCGGATGACACGGAGGAGAACCCGGTGGTGGTGACCAGCACGGGAATGGTGCAAGGGTACACGAAGATCATTGCCAACCGCGAGGTGCGCGTGTACACGGGCATACCTTTCGCCAAGCCGCCCGTGGGCCCGTTGCGGTTCCGACGACCCGTTCCCATGGACCCGTGGACCGGCGTGTTGAACGCCACCAAGCTGCCGAACACGTGCTACCAGGAACGGTACGAGTATTTCCCCGGTTTCGAGGGCGAGGAGATGTGGAATCCCAACACCAAGCTCTCCGAAGACTGCCTTTACCTCAACATTTGGATACCACGGAAACAGCGTACCCGACACCATTCCAACGCCGCGCATCATGCCAAGGTGAGTACCTGAGTTACCTAATGTGGCCGCGATAAAATGTTATTTTATGTTTTCATTATATATTTCTCAACCGGTCTAAGTAATATGTACGTTTAATGAACACCTGTATAAACTTTTAATATTTTACAGAGAAGCAATGTATACGCAATACGGAAATGTCACATTTCGTGAGGGACTTTGAAGTAGATTAGGGAAGCAATTCGAAAAGAGTCAATTTTACCTGTGAGGAGGTTGGGAGAGAAAAGTAAATTGATGATATGGTCATGATAACCATTGCAAGGAGCAGTGATAACGTTGGAATCAGCATTTATAGGATAGAAATTTACGTTTCACACGTTCAAGCATAGCGGCAACATTCTCAACTGAGGGATTTCGAATAACACTTCTGTAGTCAAAGATAGAGTAAACGAGAGCATAGAATAATAGTTGCATAAAGAGAAATTACTTTGAAGTATGAAAAATTAACTCAAAGATTTTCAGTACATTGCAGCTGCGACTTTTCCAATGTGTCTAGTTTGAGAGAGATTATTAGTAACAGAAATTGCAAGCTCTTGTTATATTTTAGATACGTTAGCCAATCACAATTTTGTATGATTTTTTCAATGCTGTTAGTACGTGGAAAATAAATGAAAAATAAAACCTTATTCCACTAATATTTATCGCATGGTACGATATATTGTATACACCTTGGTCGTTTAAGTGGTGTCCGTTTGCCGCTCTAGGGCCATAACATAAAATATACTTAAATCCAACCAACTATGTATGTATTACTAGACTACATGTTACAACATTGGGTGTATCTAATACTTCGTATGGTAAGCGCGGACAGAACGGGAAATACGCACGGTTTTTTTTATTTATTAAATCATTTTTCAACTTTTTATACAATATACACTATACGAGTATCTACGTCTCGCGTTAATATCCATCTGGTCCATCCATCCAAATCTGTGGTTTTAAGATTTTGTTGTCGATTCTTATCTTTATGAACAATTACTCACATTTATATATTTTTTCTTTCTATAATACGCGTGCGAAATCTTGTAGATCAAAGTACATTAAAACAATCTAACGTACCATTTGTTAGGCTATTGAAGATAATTGTTGTTATAACAATATATTCATAAAATTACAACACAAAACATAGACCTTGATGAGAATAGAGCTTTTAGACATGCCTCCACGTATTGTGTCTACATAAAAGATTCTCGAAGTACGATCGAATTGGTTAAAACTTATCCGAATTCTCGTTCTTTTTTCACGTACATGCGCTAATTTTACACATGTAAAATAATGATAACAAATATTTTGTGAGACTATTGTATGTATAATAGTACCCGAAATCAATTGAAATTACCGTAATGGTACTGTACTAATATAATACGATAATCGATATTATTACGAATTCTTAATTTGAGAAAATTTAGTCGACATCGGTGTTTCATACAACTGTTACTTTCGAAATTAATTTTCGTACGTTTAGGTTAAGAAAATAAATGAATAACCTATCAATAAAAAACTTAATTAATATCTAATGCCTATTATATAATATACAATTAAAAGTACTTATTATGTTCACGCACTGCAGTGCAAACGAATCGCTGTACGTGATCACTATTTAACAGTGGGATACTGGGATTTGTGTATGAAACAGTCACCGTATACTCTTGCAGCTGTGCGTATGTAGTGGATCATATTCAGTGTTTACTCGGGTAAGTAGTAGCAAATAAATAAGGTATGAATAATCCACGGGAGACGACGGGAATAAAAAAATTACGTACGCAGCACGTGTGACTAAAAATTTCCAGATAGTTACACACATTGTAATAACCGAGATTCAACGGATCCAAATACACCTCGAATTTTAATTAAAATGTTTTGTACACCGTTCTATTATTTTAAATATTTTCTGCTCAAGTTTTCATACCGTCGTAGTAGGTCCGGAAAATGTTTTGAAGATGGTTTTGCAAATTTTGTACGTTCCATAGTATTAATGTGAAAGCAAACCCAACAAATGTTTCGGAGATACTTTTATAATTAACACTTAAACCGAATAATATTGTTTGAATGGTGTTTATTTTTTCATAAAATACTTGAAAATTTTGCTTTGATTTTCGCAGGATTGTAATATTGTATGTGTGTAGAAAATAATATTATTTAGGTGCGCATAATGGCCAATAAAATTAGGGGATGTTGCGATACAGTGAATGTGTTGATATATATTATGTATAATATAATATACTTATTAAATTTGAGCTTAAAACTTATGTTTTTATATTATTATAACGAGAAATATTATGCATTTCAGTATAATACATCATATACATATTTCATTGTTTATGAACTTTACCGCGTTGAAAATGCAAACAATACATCAACGTCAGATGATTTTAACTCATCGTAAAATAATAACTCGCATTATCGTGTTACGTGGGGCTTTTAATGTACAGATTTTTTTGTAAAGATAAAGTAGAATGAAAAACTAAAACCATTCCATGATATCATTATACCGTGCTTGGATCCAAAGAAAAAACGTAATTTTTGTTTTGCACAGTGCTTAACGCGTATAACGAACGAATATTGTAAAAATTATTATAAAATGTTTTCATGATTTCTAAAGATTTGAATACAATTTTCAAATACTTCAGGTGAACGTTAAATTTATTAATCAAAATTTCCCACACACGTGTCATGTGTATTAAGAAACGTGTACGCTTTGAAAAGGATTAATTCGTTTTTTATTTCATTATTATTATAAATAATGAATTATAAAAAAAAATTGAACAGGATTTTTTTTATCTTTTTACTAATACTTGTTTTCTTATACACTTCCAGTTGATTTCATACATTTATTCCCGAGACTCATCGTCTCACATTATACCAACGTGCATTTGTCACGTAAAAGTTTGTTTTATTGTGGCTTTATATTTAAAAAACATTAACATAATGATGTTGAGTATTCACAGCTAGCGTCGAATAAACCTAAATGTAAATATACGTTCAACAGATATTATGTACAGTACATAAATTTACATAATTGTGTTTGAAACGCAAAGTACCGTTTGCGTCTCGAAATCTTATTATTCTTAATCGTCACGGTAGCACACAAATCATTAGTATAAACGCAGCTATAGTGGAACGGGGAGTAATATTATTCAGAGCTAGGAGTCAACGAATAAAACTTCTCATTCATCCTCAATATAATATTGCGTTATAATATCGTAATATCGCCGTATAGTATCACACAATAGCAGTGCATGTGTAGTCACGATGCGGAATTAAAATTAATTTTGAATAAACGTTTTATTCTTTCGTGGGATATTATTATTCTGTACACAAGTGTTATTGCGTCTCTGATCAATTGGATGACTATTAGATTTTATACTGAATTTGATATTAAATATTAATTAAATTGATCAAAGATCTAATCTATTCTAACCATATTCATCTTAACTTTTAGTTCCTAGTTTAATTACAATTGCAAAATAGTAACCGTAAATTCTGTGATCTGTGCACGTATTCAAAACGGTTTCAAACCAGTTTATAATTGAATACGATAAAAAATTATAAAATAATATTTTTTCTAAGAAGTATTTATGTATACCTATATATGTTCAGGCTGTTTGTGATTTACATCTAAAATGTCCTCATATAGTTCATCAATGATCATGAGAACATTGTGAACAAGTATTTCGAAATTAGATGACCGAATTACTAGTTCACGTTTAAGATTGGTTGATCTTAATTCTAAGAGTACGATGGACGTGTCCTGTTCGTGTGGTGGTAGTACGCACGATTACATAACTAATATTGTATACACGATAATATATTATTAATTCGAATGAAAGCAGATCGTATATTATGATAATAATTGATGATCGCGTCCCGATCGGTTACAGATACCGGTACTAGTGTGGATCTATGGCGGAGGGTACATGTCCGGCACGTCGACTCTGGACATCTACGACGGCGATCTTCTGGCGGCCACGTTCGACGTGATGATCGCGTCCATGCAGTACAGGCTGGGCGCGTTCGGTTCGCTGTACTTGGCGCCCGAGCTGCCGAATGACAGCGACGACGCGCCCGGCAACATGGGCTTGTGGGACCAGGCGTTGGCAATCAAGTGGATCAAAGAGAACGCGGCGGCTTTCGGCGCCGACCCGGACACGATCACGTTGTTCGGTGAATCGGCTGGCGGTGGATCGGTAAGGGCACACGTTCATGCGTAACCAATTTACAACTTGCGCGCACGTGCGACACCGCGTTCCCGTGTTTCGTGTGTACGACGATCGTACGCGGAACACCAGGCAACGGCCGATTCGGTCACATCGAGCGGACCGAAAGTTCAACAACAGAACCGCGTCAAGGATGTACTTCATAGGAGAAAATTGTAGAACGTAGGAACACTTAAGGGTGTAAATAATGTGACGATACTTTCCTATAACTATCAACATTTATTTCCATAACCTATTATTTAGCTATTCTAAATATACTTCTTTTCTTCCAACGGGGCGACACTTGTCCCTGCATCCCTGGATTCGTCATCGGTCCGCGACGCCTACCCGTCACGAACGCAATATCGTCTTGCGTCACGGGCGAGAACCGATGGATTCTGTAAAGGCTCTGTTGACTCTATTGACATGGGTCCCCCAAATTATCCAGATATCTACGAAAACGGTGAATTCTCGTACATCAAATCAGTCCAAAAATACAATTATTTGTATTTTTTTTTTTACACAAGTACCCGTATAGTACACGTTACATTTTTCCAATCTACAATTATGTCGATATTGTATATATGACCATGTACCAACTTAGGAATAACTAAAAAAAAGACTGTGCTAAATGCATGAGTTTTTTTCCCCCAAATAACGCCGTTGAGTGCACGTGTACGAAAACGTCCACTACGACCGTTCGGAAAAGTTCGAACGGCCAATTACGAACGTACCGATGATGTAATGATCTCCAACTTTCTGGCTGGTTACGTACGCGATAGGTCTGCTTTCAATGTGAAAACGCGGGGATTGTGAATAGCGATAATAACAACGTTCCACTCGTTCTCGGAAAATAAATAAATGTGCGCCCGTGCGAGTGTAATGTAGTATTATGCGTACACGCGTGCAAAGGTGTTCGATAGCATGCAACGATTCCGAACATCGGATAATATCGAAATTGAAGAAGGGAGACCAAAGCTGAGTGTCGAAATTAAGAGACTTATTTCGAAATAGTAAAGACAAATGAAAACAGCGATTGAATGTGGTTAGTGGCACTGCTGTCTTCCAGTGTAAGTGAAAAGCTGCTGCGTGACAAGGTATGATGGTGGAGTAGCTGATAGTGGTGGCCGCTGCAGTTCTCCAACGGAGGCAGAGAAATAGTTTCAGGCGACTGAAGACGTAGTGTGCTGGTAGTGAGGTGGCCGCTGTAGCTCTCTAACGGAGGTAGAAAACCGGATCAGACGACCTAAGACAAGAGTCCAATCTGCCCATGATGAAGCACCAGTGAGATTAAAACCTGTCGTGTCTTTGGTGCGTAAGTCGGCTCCGTGAGGTCTTACAACACCAAGACGGTTTTATGTCGAAAATTCTTCCGTCCAAGTCTAAGTCTTCTCGGTAAGGTTCCCGGGAGAGAGAGTGTTTTGTTGCTGCTGCGGCCAGGGGCTCTTTTATAGGCCAAATACGACAGAAATGCGGAACCGGTTAAGTGGTATATTTTTGAACTTGTGATATGACTTAGGTGATACTCACGGGTGCGCATATTTTCAATAAAGGAATCACAGATATTCACGGGCTCGTGTGTCTGCAATAAATCCACTGTACCAATAAAAGCGATCTTACGATCACTTAGAAGTACTCGTATTTATATTTGAAAATTTTATGCCTGATTTTCAGGTGAGCGTGCATCTGATTTCGCCGATGACCAGAGGTTTGGTAAGACGCGGTATCATCCAGTCCGGCACAGTGAACGCGCCTTGGAGCTACATGACCGGCGAACGAGCAATCGATATAGCTAAAAAGCTGTTGGACGACTGCAAGTGCAACTCGTCCGCACTAGCCAGCAACCCCATCGGCACCATGTCGTGCCTGAGGTCCGTCGACGCGAGTGTCATATCGAAGAAGCAGTGGAACAGCTACACCGGCATCCTGGGATTCCCGTCCGCGCCCACTGTAGACGGGTCCTTCCTACCTGAACACCCGCTCGACATGTTGGCAAAAGCCAACTTTTCCGACATCGACATACTCATCGGCAGCAACTTGAACGAAGGTTAGAATATTATCATTACCTAAATCAGTGTTTTGAGATACGGGGTATCCAGAGTGTGTAGCTTTTAACCCGGAGATCACGATCCCATAAGTGATTGCGAATGATAACTGATGAGTCACCAAAACAACAAAAAATTATATTACATTTTTGTTGTACAATAATTTATATGCACTTATATATTATACATATTCAAATGTCTTTACGTTTGATACTTTAAGTATAAAGTCTTATGTTTCTGTAATTACTTATGGTCGACTTTAAGTAATATAAGAAGAAACGTAAAAAGTTGAAATCACCGACATAAGGAATCTTTTTTAAAAATGAATACCTCGCACTGCGTTAATCATACTTACAATAGCATCGATAAAATATAAAAATCAAATTGAATTTCGTCTTAATCGATTATGACACTTAGTTCGTTTTATAGAAAACTAACGACCCACTTGGTAGTCCTGCAGGAATAGAAATGGTCATAGAAATAATTTTTAATTATTAATATATCTATTAATATATAAATAAATTCTATAATTATTACAGTTGATAATTTTCAAAAATCAATATGATTATTAAATATATTATTTTTTTCTATCCGTGTCGTTTTGTGCTTTTATTAATATGATTTACACTTAGAATCATAACTAACTATTAGATTATTGAAACTCTCTTTAGTTAAATCATATTAAAGAACTAATTTATAAGACATTGAACAGTAAAATATTTAATAAAATAAAATAATATATTAGATTTAATAGTAAATTATTCTCGTTGCTGCGTGGACAAATGTTTGGACATTATAAAAATATGATTCGTATGCTGAACTTCTTCTTCTTAAGTTTTATAGAAACGAAATTACTATACTAAAATTTACATTTTTTTCTTTAAATATTTATTCATGTTACATTCAAACCGGGTAAGGCAACTTGAAATTGAAAATTCGGATTTATACTTCTCTGAAAGTTATTTTGAACATTCTATACCATATAAACTTCGACTGTTTCAAAGTTTTTGTTTTACAAAAATGTGAAAATGTTTCTTCGATAACTATTCTGAAAGCTTTTTATAGTATAAAGTTTCTTGAGACAAACTGCTTCGCCGGTCAAAGTAAATTATATTTATACAACTAATGAAATTGTATTTATAGTTTTAACTGGAGATTGTCTCTTTTATATATATTTTATTGACTGATGCCATTTAACTCATAAAGGATACATTTTAAAGAAAAATAAGTACTGAAATTTATTTTTTATGTTATGGGATTTTAATTTAAACGAATAAAATTCAATTATTTCAAGATTCATTAGAGTAATATTTCTTTAAGATAAAATATTCAATACCTATGTATAATACAAATATACATCGCATCGTTTTTTAAGTGTGATTTATGATCACTTTGAAACGTATTATACAAATGAATACAATCAGCACAAAAATACTTACATTCGGGACCAGTAACTCACCGGTTTTTCATTATTCAATGTCCTGACAGTATTTTTATATTACTACGGTGTACCAAAAATAAAATAAGAAACTTTTATTTCCCAACTAAAATATAACATGTTTTATTTAATATTATTATTGTTTATTAGTCAGGCAACATATAGTTGAAAAAGTAATAACCTTGTAGACAAAAATGAAATTCAAACATTTTTATTCAATTTGAACAAATTAAATTTACTATCAAATTGATTAAGTTTATATACTCTTTTCTTTTGAACATTTAAATGAAAAAAGTCTGTTTATTGAGGTCTGTGTACTATAACAAAATCCTTTGAATTTTTTTTTTTAAAAAAATAAAATACTAAAAATAAATTTTTTATTTATTATTTCGATATTTGATACATAAGGAATATTTGATAGTATCATAATATTATAGAAATATTAAATAATAATTTATGTTTTTATTTTCGATATGTGACTTGTGTCAAGGACGATTGATAAGTTATTTATTTATATAAATATTCGACACTATAGTGAAACGAAAAACTTGATAGTATTTGTATATTATATTTACGTGTGGTGTGTGTGTGTGTGTGTATGATTCCCATGCATATATTTCTGTTGATATAATATTGTAAATTTAGTTTTTAGACATATACGTGGATCTAACTTCATAATTTTATTGATACTACGTAATTGTCAATAGAACATGTCTTAGGTAATGTAACGCGTTTTATTATTTTATTTATTCAATCATACTTTTTTAATTTATCAAACATAATAAAAGTATACAAGGCCTTGAGTCAGGGGTTACTTAAGGACATAATTATTTGATGGAATTTTACCTTGTATATTTATAATTTTAGATTTAAAGTTATAGTTCATAAATATACTTATCGAAATGAGTATTTTCCGAATATTAGTGATCTATTAGTAGCCTTTGTAGTTCACCGGATACTAACCGTACAAGAGGACATATTTTGAAGAAACATCTCGTGAATTGGGGCAGTTAGGTAATCAACTTCACATCATATTTATCGAGGCTTATAGTCAAAATATAGTCTGGTATAACCTGACAATTAAGTATTGGCTAATTTTTTTTTTTTTTTTTTTTATAGTTAAGTTAGGTTTTTTGATTTTAGAGCACAAAAATGAGGTTACGGATGAAAATGCGTAGTGGCTTATTCTCGTCGATCTGATATAGTAGAACTCTGTTTTTTTAGTTTTTAAATACTGAACTAATGCATTGTATACAATTAAGTTTGATATAGAAAATTTTAATATATCGGTTGTAGATTCGAATACAAAGTTTTTAAAAATAGAAATTGTTAAATTAAGCCCGAAAATAGGACTGAAAAATCGTTCTGATTAAAATATGAGAAAATCTTCGATTTCAAATAGATAGATTTTCAACAAGGTCATATTGGGTGATTGGATCAGAGCGTTTGGAGGTACCGAAAATAACTAATTATATGAACTTTCCGATTATAACAATTATAAATATATGCACATTGGAGATTATACGATTGAGTTTACGTATGCCATTTCGTTAGCTTTGAAAACAAACGTGGATTGCAAGATAATGTAAAATGTGATCGTTCTGAGGCAGTAATGATTCAACAGAATGTGAATAAATAAAATCGCAATTAAACCCGCGGAAAACGATGCCATGGTATTGTGTTTAAGAATAATGTGTTAGTATTGTAGTACAGTTTCCCGAAGAGAAGTATAACTTGTAATCTAGCATATACGCATCTGCCGGGGGTTATTTCAGTAAGTCGATAATGTGCGTTGCGTGTCGTACGAGGAACCGGGTCAAAAGTGCAATAAAATGAAAAAATAAAATAAAAAATAATTTTTACGTGTGCGCCTCGCATTTATACAAATATTCTCTGGACAAATCCCGCGAACATTCGAATAATGGGCTCATTCGTGTTTAATGGTCGGAAACTTTACATAGCTTTTATATAATGGAAACGAAAAACAGTGATTATTTTTTCTTACCGACAACGTTTGTCTTATAATATTACTCGTACACACTATATCATAATTGTTACACACCACTAATACTGTTGCGTTGATACTCATATCCTATTCAATATCAAAAGATTATATATTATAACTACATTTTGAGACTACTTTATTATTATTTCATTTGATTTAAAATATTTAGATTTAAATAAATATATTTTGTGGTAGTTACAATACAATGAATTCAATCGTGAACCGTAGTAATAATATTTTTTCTTAAATCGCTTAGACTGTATTTTCGATATAAAAATGACATAAAAATAAAATTCCTTATATCCATTAATGATTCATACTCAAATCATAGAATACCAAATTCAGTTACGAAACTATAGTACTTAAGTAAACGCAATTATAATTTTGATACCAATTAAAACCGCTTAATAAACGTATTGATTGATTTTTTTTTTATTAATTCGAAAATACAAATAAAATCCAATACTCTGACCAAAAAAAACTACTTCATACTTTATGCTATTTTTATGATTTGTATTATATTCAAATTAAAAATCTTAATATCAAATTGCCAAATATTAATACGAAACCTACTGCATATTTATATATGTATGTTAATAACAAGTAAACTATGTAAGTGTATCTCCCTCTTATACATTTTCAGTCATTTTAAAAATATTAATAAATTAAGAACAATACAGGATTTATATTATAAACTTTAAAAAGATAAAGTTAAGATTTAATATATAGTAGCTTAAAACAGTTTTATGATATAATAATGGCGAGTAAAATAAAACGTATATATACGTTAGTTTGACGAAATTATTAAACTGGCATAAGTATATTCAAATTACATACTAGAATAGAATAATAATATATTCAAAACAAAAAACTACTTATAATTACCTATAATATCATTAAATCTTATCATCGATCACTCTCCCTCTCTGAAATTGTATGTCTGTGGTCGGAAATCATTAAAAAAAAACTACTCGAATCGATGGTCAAGGAAGGAATATTATTTTGGAACACGCGCAAAATTATAACACGGACGTTATGTAAGTATTACTATAGAAATACTTGCCAACCGAAATTCTGTGCCAGAAATTCGAAAAACTTTCTTCGATACGCAAAATTGTTTATTCGCCATTAACACAAATTATGAATATTCCTGCGGGAAAGATACGAGTCAATGGAATTATTTTGGTTAAGCTTGATTTTTCTTTTGTTATAATACACATATATTGACATAGGCTTTTGTTTTTTTTTTCTCAAAATAATTGATAACCATCTTTATTTGGGGTGACCATGGGACAATTCTCTACAATCAACCTCTTACAAACATGGAATGCTTACTTAGAACTGGTAAATAATAATCAGGAAGATTTATATTAACAGTGTAGACAAAATTACTCAATGCCTACATTTGATTAACGCATAGCTTACGGAGTCCAATTGACGTTACTGACAAAATTTTGAAACGCTTTTTCTTTATAAGAACAATATATCGCAAAATTATTTTATAATTTATTTCTCAATAGTATAGAAATATTTTAAACGTTAAATTAATAAGAACTATTTAGAATAAAGCTTTTTTGATATAACTATGATAGAAAATTTGTATTTGAGCTTTAATATAAATTGTATAACAATGTTTTAAGTATTAAAGTATAATTATTAGATTATTAGATTAAATCTCTATTAAAGTTCTATTTAAAAATTATAATAAAAATTACATAGTATATTATGAATTTCACTTTTATAAAAATAAAAAACAAAAATAAAAACAAAAAAATTAAATTATGACAAGCCAATTAAAATTATATTTGAATATGAATAAATACGAATATTAACAAATTAATTATGTGTCTTAAAAAAGTACACATTATTTTAATTATGTTTATAAATTCTTTTTTTAATTTTTATTAATTTTTATTTATACAGAACAAAACTAAAGGTTGCATTATAAATTGTACGTATTATACGATTGCTTACTAACGTTAAATTATTCTCAAAGTTTACCTAATATAATATTTAAGGACCAAATTACGAATCCTTAATCTTCAATTTTATATTAATAAGTAATATCTTAAAGTTTTGATTTTGTACGTTGGGTCAATAATGAACCATAACAACTATTATAACGAAAATATTATAGCAATAAATAATAATTACAATAATACAAAAAATAAATAATTTTTTGTATCTCTTTATATTTACATTCATCATATATTTATTATGGAATATTAGAATATATAATTAAAATATGTAAACAATCATAAATATTTGTAATTTTTATTCAAAATTATTGTTTTTATTTGTTAGTATTAAAATCTCTGGTTAAATCCAAACTAAATTTAATATATTATCGTTTTTCAACCTGAAAACCTAGTCACCGTGTTAGTACTATGGATATAAATTGATATATTCAGAAATGGTTTGATGATTTTTTTTCAAACCATCTCGTCCGAAAACATTTAAAATTAAATTAACTGCTAACATGTTATATAAAACATTCATTTCATCATGGTTCGGTCTTCATGTGTTGAGAAAAAATGTAAACGTTATATTTTAAACTCCATGAAAAAATATATTATAAGTTCTAGTCGAGATGGACGCAAAGTGATGCTATGAGCGTTTGGTAAAAGTATATATAAACGTCACGGCAACATCCATTTGCACGACCTAGTTAATTTTTTTCCTTCATACTTTATATATAAATGTATATAGTTTTTATATATAATGTAAACGCGAGTGCGTTTGTGTTATATAGTCATTTTTTACATTACTCTTTTACGTCTGAGAAATTCCCATTCGTCATCTCTCGACTTGTCACAAGTGTCCAATCACTCTGTTAGTATTTGGTTTAACCCCATACAAAACTCTAACAAATCTCTGTGGGAAATATAAAGAAGTTTTTTCTTCTCGAGCAATACACAATTTTAATCACTATCGTGGTAGTTTCAATTAATAAAATAAAATAAATTAACGTGCATATAATAGGTAATATAAATATTATATAATATTTTACCCCTAGTTTATTTGCAATTTACGTAAAAAAATATCATTAGGTGTTACATCGGCTCAGTTGGATGAATAAAAATAAAACTTATGAATGTTCTTTCGGTCAATAACTCAAGTATACTTCAACACTCTGAAAGTAGCGAATCATAGAAAATCTAGCATGTGATACAATTTTATATTTATATATCCTTTATTTTTACTCAATACAGTTTTTAAACATAATTCACATGATTGAAAAATAGAAAAATATAATATGTTTGGCAGTTGTGATAACTTTGTACTTCATAATATAAATATTCAAAAATATGATTAATATATTATTTATATAATATACACTCCATTCGATGAGAGAACACAACTCATTCGTGCATTCCCACCACTTTTCAGCGCGTTTATTCTGCCGTCTCAAACTCAAATTTCCACCTTAATTATATGTTTGTATAAATATTATTCATTTTAAATAATTTATATTATCACTTTATTTTCTTATCAAAATTTCAATCTAAAATTTAATTACTTATCTTATCTAAGTAAAATAAAAATAAAATCACTGGTTTAAAAATATATTATTTATAGAAAGATTAAATATTTTTGCAGTATAAATACATGAGAGAAAATTGTAATTTTATGTTTAAATGGTTTTGATGTATTTTATATCAAATATTTTTACTGTGATATAATAAGAACTAATTTAATCATCGTAAAGCAGAAAAAAGAATCAACCAAGTTTTCATTTTTGCTTGCAAAAATTGATATTTTTAAATTATATTAAAATAATTATGATTTATTATACATATCTTTTAAATTATTTATACTTAATAATAAAGTTTTAATTTTATGAATTGTTAATTTGACAAGCCATTATATTCTTACAACAATAGTTTTATTAAATTCGTTTTTTTTTTTTAATTTATTGTTATATTATAATAATATTATTTTCAGTTGTACAATCTGTTAAGTAATACGATTTTGTTGATACTTATTTTTAGTATGACTAATTCCAAATTACAATATATTCATAATATTATATTCATTGTACTACCAATAAATATATCTATTATAAAATGTATAAATATAATATATATTTCTATAAATAATAGAATATCAATTCATGATTTTTAAATATGATGTATTATTTTTTCGTTTTTTTATACACACACGCACACATATATGTATATATGAGTTAGTGATGGTTCGAACTGTTCGGTTCATAAACTGAATTCAAAATGAAAAAAAAAATCGAACTGAACTATTTACCATTTAAGTTTGGTCGAAATTTGAACTTGAAAATATTCTTAATTAAACAATCTAAATTTAATTTTCTCTACTTTATAGTATATAATAAGTAACATAGTAGTATTTTTTTTATATTATCACGATTAAGTATGATAAAATAAAATAATTCCAAGTTGAAACATGTGTTTATTTTTGTAAATATCTATAGGTAATATTATTACAGATTTTTTTTCATATTATGTGTGATAATATGATCAAAACCATAAATCTATTTTTGGAAAACTAAAAAGGAAAAATATAAATATTGTTTTTACTTTATATTTTTAAAAATATTATCAGAAATAATGGTATGGAGTATTAATAAATAATTATTATAATTTATTATATGTTTTTAGTTGTTAAAATATTGTACGATGTAGGTAAAATGTTTATAATTTCGATATATTAATGAAGAGGAAAAAAATTATGAGTTCGAATTTTGGTTCGATAAAAAATTTTAATAGTTCAGTTCGGTTCGGGTTCATAATACTTTCACAATGTTCGGTTCGAGTTCAATTTGACATCGAAAAATCAGATTCGACCCATCAATAATATAAATATGTTTTTTATTGTGTACAAATGATTAGGGCAAGGAACTTGTTGAAATAACAATTTAATGAGAGAGGCTCAACGAAGCGCAGGTTTCTCATCAACCTTGCACACAGTTATAATATATTGATCACTCCCTTCTCTTCAGTAGCTTTACCCTTCTTACCTCTCCATTCTTTATTCATTTTTCCCTTAACATGATACATTTTTGATAAAGTATCAGCTAACAATTAATGTTTTTTTAACATGAATAATATGTTTTAATTTTATTTATAAATTTAATAAATTCTCTATTTTTATTTACAGGAACGTACTTTTTACTATACGATTTCGTCGATTTTTTTGACCGAACTTCGGCTACAGCATTGACAAGGGAAAAATTCGTACAGATAGTAAACGTAATATTCAAAGATAGAACACAACTGGAAAGAGACGCAATCATATATCAGGTTAGATGAACTAATTTTAATAAAGTAAAAATAAAAAAAATAACGAATATGCGAATACACGATAATATATGATAAATATTCTATTATGATAAGAATAACATTTTCTTAAAAATGAATACCCTATCGAACATACGTTTTTTTATAACGTTTTACGTTTATAATATTTTGTGAACCCTTAACAGTTTTAATATTAATCATAACTTTTTATAAACGAGGAAGTTTCATAGTCAATACTTAGTTATTTAATTGTAATATTATAATCACTCTCACTATCCAATCTACCAAAACCATTATTATAGTTTTGAAAATTTCACAAATAAGTTTTAATCATTAGCGTACTTTGGTTGAAAAGTGTTTTATAACAATATTTTCTGTTTGGTTAGTGTTACATAAATAATTTAAGCAATTTTATTATAAAAAGCAGCACATATAATGGCGTTGGATAAATCTTTAATGGTATACTAAATAAAACATTTGTCAAAATATAAGTAAATTACAATGATTTTATTTTTCAGTCTGTTGATTCACTTCAACGAATACAATTGTTCATGTAACATAACAACCGTTTCGTATCCCTTTTTTTAATCCAGCGTACTTTTGAATTCAAGAAATTGAAAATATACAACTATTTTTTTATCATTCTCAAGTTGTAATGAGAGAGTTTTCAATATAATTGCAATTTTATACTTCTTGATGTATTCAATTGTTCTCTTGATGTCTCTAGAAAATACGAAGAATTGTTATTCATAACCCGTTGTGCAATTGTTGATAACTGTGCAGACTATATAAGAGTGGATCAGAGCATTTTTAATGTTCAAATATAATTTTCGGAAAGTAATCTATTTATAATATATATGATCAATATAAAATATAATTTAAAAATGTAAAACAATAAACACAAAAATCCGTAATATTTTTATTTTATTTTAGGTTAGCAAAAAAAATAAAATAATTTTTTTTTTTTTTTTAATATTCAGGAGGTGGGGGAGAGTTTAAGCCCTAGCACAACCCCTTATATACGATCCCAGGTTAAATACAAATTTTAGTTTATTCAAGTTCACATATCCTATTGTGATGGATTATTTTTTAATTTACGACTGTGTAAAATTATCAATTAAAACTACTATTGCAGTACTCGGGATGGGAGAAAAAAGAAGTGGACGATATATATTCAAACCAGAAACAATTGAGTGACATAGTGGCAGACTACTTTTTTGTATGCCCGACCAACTTGTTTGCCAACATTGTATCAAGTCGTGGAGCTCGCGTGTACTATTATTTTTTCACCCACGTAAGTCACTCATATTACTTTTATACGGACGATGTTACGATCATATTATCACAATGTTATACCCAAATAATATGCACACAATTTGTGTTATTTATCGAGTATTACAGCACGAAATTAAGCATTGTGAACAAATTTGAATAACTTTATTAGATATTAGTATACAGCATATATAATATTTAGTATATATGCATATAAAATAAAATTACATGACAAACCCATATCATATATTGGTCTGTCAAGTAATTTTATTTGATCCGAATGGTAAAAAGCTTAATGTTTACCAGAGGATTCGAAATAACAGTTAATCAGTGCAATCGCATCTATTATATCAAATAATAATTACATGGCGTAAAGGTGCAACGTGTTAAGTTTTGATGGTTGACTGAGCACTACGGAATGAACTAAATTTTCACGAAACGAAATTTGAAATAGGGGACAACTTAAACGAATGTATTTGTTATTGAATAAATTTTTCGTGCAATTATTATACTATAGGGGTGATGTTAAAAATTTCGACTTTTGCAACATATAAAAACTATTCTAATAAACATGGATATCTATCTATCTATCTATAAGTATAAATAGTAAATTTTACTGTGTTGATAGAAAACTATTTCGATTATTGTACTCGTAATAGGACATCTCGTGGTGCACTACAAAATTGTAATCATTTATAATCAATTTGAGAGTTCAATATTATATTGAATATTATCGTACCGTGAAATATTTTATATAATTCTGAGTTGCGATTTTGTTGGAATAATATTGTATTGAAAATTATAATATGGTAATAATTAATGATAACATTGATGATATATTTAAATGTACATTATACTACTTTGATTCGTTTTATAGAGAACGGATTCACATTTATGGGGTGATTGGATGGGCGTGTTGCACGGCGACGAGATGCAATACGTGTTCGGCCATCCTTTGAACATGTCAATGCCGTACAATGCTAGAGAAAGGGATTTGAGCATAAGAATTATGGAAGCATTCACCAGATTCTCGTTGACTGGGTAACATATACGTTTACACTATGTTGTATTTTACCTATATATTTGTCGTTGTCATTGCGGTTATTAAAATATTGTTATTATCATCCGTTGTTATGGAACGTTTCGAAAGAAAGAAAAAAATAATAATAACAATAATTATATTAAAAAATGACATAAATCAATCGACGAAAATAAATAGTAAACCACCACACCGCTGACATGCAAAAATACCGTGGCTTTATATTAAATATTTATATATATAAGGAGAGAGAGATGTGTAAACTAATTGGCCGTGGTCACGCTTTGGCGAGCGTTTTAAAAGGGGTAATCCTACCGTTGACCGGCAACGGTTATTATATAGGATTGCGGCTGATAAATGAGATTATTTAACTGATAAACCCATTCTATAAATTTCTGCATCATTTCTGCACGAACATTTCACATCGTTTAATAATAATAATTTTTGTACTCGGTACCGACTTAATAAATGCTAAGCCTAACATCTTGTATGGCCTATAGATAAATAAGTATTCGTGATAAAGTTCGTTTAATACTACCTAATATTATAATATATCACTACACCATACATGCTGAGAATTTTATGCACGAGCTGTTTTTAACGGTGTAATTGTAACTTAACCCCCCCCCCCCCCCGGTTCTTAATTTGTTTAAAACGTTTAAACGTACAAATACACATCATATTATATACCATATACTATATCATATTATATATTGTAATAGTATTATTAACTAAAATATATACCCGCTGCAGTAAGCAACAGCATATATTATTGCACTTTTTGCTCGGTTTTATCACCTTACACGTTTGTTTGATATATCGATTTAATGTATGCGCTCTGAATAAGAGGTTTTTTTTAACTGCATACTGTGAATGAGTAGTATGAGATATGAAATATGATGTAGTGAATATTTACTTATAAGGTCGATATGACTCAAAATTGAATTCATTATCTGACCTGGGATAAAACAAAAGTTTATATTTTCAAATCCATATACATGTATTTATATTGAAGTAATCACCGAGCGATTCTTTTTCTGAGATCTGTAAGCGTTTATTAAAATGTTGTCTAAACATTGTACAGTTACAGCAAGTTTTGTTTTTTGTGTACCAGATCGAAGATGAATTTTTCTGATAATTCAATAAGCGCATCAAAAACTAGATATATAAATAAATTGACATGTTACGATGCTGCCAAGTAAATATCTGATATAGTTATGCTTTATCAATTTAACGATAAACACATTTTGAGTGGTGTAAACATCAACATCGTAGAATATAAATTACTAGCTATTATCAATTACATTATATTAGTTGAACTATGAAATAAACATAATATTTATTTAATTTCAGTTTGCAGTCTTTTACCTTATGCAGTATTCGTAGAACTTTCGTCCACCGACACTCTTAAAAGGTGTTTTAATTAATTGAAGGATATTGTCTACTATGTTATCTATATTGTTCATCTATACATGTGTTTTATACGTCATTTGATAATTTGTTATGATTTAAAATATACATATTATGTAATACACATATATATGTAAAAAAATTTCCTGTACTTACTGGGCTTAAAATACATATTAATTTAAACCTATACGACAATGCCTTTTATTAATTATTTAAATTAATATTTTTTTTCAATTGAAGTATTCCTAAGAAAAATATTTCAAATTTAACAAGTACATACAAGGAACGGTATTATAATTTATAAAATATACCCAAAGAAATTAAATTGATTATTTTAATCTAAACTGATATTTATTTTTATTTTAGAACCCCTGTCTCGGATGACATTGAATGGCCATTATATAATGAAACAAGACCAATATATCACGTATGGAATGCAGCGGAATTGGATGTGGGTTATGGGCCTAGGGCGACTGAATGTCAATTTTGGAACGGATTTTTCCCAAAAATAGGTATGTCTTGGTATTAATTTATCGTTGTATCAAAATGTATAATATATCATATTTAAATATTAATTAAACTCTAATAATAATTAATATTTTTTTTTTAAAGAGTATTTGGATTTAACATCATGTATAATTATTACATATGAATTTCTGATTTTAATTGAAACATATTTATATTATTTACTTTTATCGTTTAACTGTTATGATCGCATATTTTATAAACCAGTTTATCCCTACCTATGAGTCACGAAATATTTTTTATGGGTCGTGACTGTCGACCAGATCCATCAGGCTGTTCAGTACTATGATTATTAATAACACTATATTATCACATATTTTTATTCTTAGTATTGGGAGTGGGTCGCGTAATTAATAAGCAGTAAATGTATGGGTCGCCATTACAAATAGGTTGAGAAACACTGTTATAAGCTAAGGAGAAATATTTCATTTATATTTGAGCGTTCAGAAGTGTATTGCTTCAACAAACAATTATTGTCTCTACTCTTTGGAAATATGATGGAATTTTATATTAACAAAACAATATCAGATTGTAGGAATTTTACTATTATTACCAGTTATGTAATTATTGTATTTTAATTTGAATAACTATCGACGATAATCTATCGTTATTATCAAAAACATTCTATGGTTTCATATTATTATTATTATTATTATTATGTTTCGTATTTATTTTCAGCACGAGCACTGGAAGAAAGCAGTAAGACTACATGTGAAGATTATTCTGATTTTATACCTGCAACCAACGAGAACTGTACGCTCCCAACATCGTCCACTGCTACCAAACAACAAGTTTTCTTCGTTATATTTATCATAATTCTACCGGCACATGGATTATTCTAAATTAAAAAATTAATAACTAAAACATGATAAAAGGAAAAAAATGAGAAATCTAAAACATTCAACAGCCAATAAATGGTGCCATGGCTCAGAATGCCAACACTATACGACATATAGGCTGCGAAATCAATATATACATATCAAAATCACATATCATTTTAAAATTTAGATAAAACCTAAATGGAATCTAAAACGTGATATAAGTGTTAGAATTATCATGATTTTCAAGTATTTATTAGAATATAATAATATTAAAAAAAATAAATAAATAAATAATAAAAATAATAATAAATAAAATTATCAAATTATAATAATAATAAATAAGAATAATATAAAAGCTTGATATCTGTTAAAAAAAAATTATTAAAATAATAACGGGAAAGACACATTTTTTATGTCGAAAATCCAAGTAATACCGTATAATATAATATAGAATCTATAATTATATAAAATTAGTATCTTCTAGTCAAATTATCCGTAAACTTATTGATATGAACGAGTAGGGAAAAAAATTTTTTTTAAAAAATTGTAGTAATAATCACATAGTGTTTCACAGCACGTTCTTTAAAATCAAATCCATTTCGTCCAATTACACTGGGATCACAATATCAACATTCAGACAATCTTAGCTCTTTAATATTGATAATATCAACTAAGTAAATACTATTTATATAGCTCAATTATATTTATGTTTAAACGAAATGATAACAACTTGAGAAATTGAATCTTTTTATATATTCTAGATAGTATCGTATCTTTTGAAAAATCTACAAAGATAGATTGATGATTGTTTTTTCATATTTTTATACCCAAAAAAAAAAAAAAAAGAGAAATCAAGAACTTTTTAGAAATGCTGTAATAAAAATCAAAATTTAATCTTATCGTTTTAATCATCAAAAATATATCAAAAAACTGTTGCCAAATGAGTACAAAGTATAAACACTTTGAATGACTGTTATATATTGTTATATGTTGAGTGTTAACCATTAATATCAATCAGACGATATTAGGTGCGTAGAGATTTCATTTTTTAACGATATTACACTATTTTAATACTTTTCGACAGATAATGTTATAATATTTTTCATAGAAAATTGTTTTTTCTTTTAATTTCGGCCAAACTATCATTCTTTTTATAACCCATGCTTATTGTTGTATCATATACATACATTAAATATTACAGTATTTACATTTTGGAAAAGCAATGGCCCATGAATAAGATTATTTAAAAATTAAAGAGGAGCAATTATTTTTGTGTGTGTATAATATTAATCAAAAACAATTTTTTCTACTATTGAATCAAAACAAATATGTCTAACACGAAATACTCAGTAATCACGGTATACTTATTTAACTATATTAATCAACAAGATGAACAGTATTTTTATTAATCTAGTGTCAATCGATTAACGTATATTCTTAAAACGTATTATTTTAATAAAAATTAAGAAAAAAATTGAATATTGTTATTTATATCTTACATAAAACACATTATATAGTGTACCGTCATAGTGTTTTGCAATATTTTTTTCTGTTAAAAAATGTTGAAAAATAGTTAAACTAATGTGATACCTTTGGGTTATGTCATTAATGGAGTTTTAAAGTTACTATTTGAATCATTAAAAATCATAACAAAATTTTAAATACATCTAACTACTATGTTAGCTAATCAATTACATCAATAAATTAAATTATCAATTTATAGTAAAAATTGTCTAAATTTAAATGGTCTAAATGTTTCCTACAGATAAAAAAAAAGGTTTATAATTTATTTATTAAATTAATATACTTTATATTAATACTTTATTTAATACTAACAAACCAATAACTTATTATTATAATGCTCCTCTTTTCACATTCATATAAACATTGAATTTAAGTTTTATTGCAAAAAAAATTAGAATACCAATTTCTTTTTTGCTCATGCGACATTATGTCGTTGGCTAAATTAAACACGTATTATAAAATAAATTATATTTTTAAAAAAAACACGTATTGTATTAATAAATTATATTATTAAGTAAAAAAAAAAAATAAAACCTATGGTTACCTACCTAGAATAATTAAGTTAAATGTTTAATTTTAAGCTAGAGATTTAAGTAAATTATATAATGCCTATAATAATTATTTGGTAAAAAAACTGCTGACTAGTTGTGCTAATGGCCTAACTGAAATTGTACAAGAATATCTGCCTGTCAATTCCGTAAACATTTATATAAATCTATTTTTTTTTTTTTTTTTTTTTTTTATAGTGGACGGGCTAATTTTATAAGCATTGGTTTTCTTATGCAGACTGCACACCCACCTAGGCACTATCTTGTAGCCGATAGTAAAGGCAAAACAAATCGTATGTGTATTTTATGTCAATTAACCAGACTGCGATTTTAGATGAATAATTTAAAAAAAAAAAAAAAAAACTTTAACCATTATAACAATAATAATATATCAAATACTATTATAATAATATATAATATAATGGTAATGCATAGAAAATAGAATATTTATTTTCATTTTGCTGCCTTCTGTTAAACTATAGTTAATGACGTTATTGTGTTATATTTAATGAAGATAATGTCAATAATTGTTTAGAGTCATATTCAATTAATAGGATTCAATTTATTGTTGAAAATCTTGTATGTCACGTATTAAACTTAGACCTATTTTTGTACACAATTTATATAGTAGATAGATTTAAAACTCTGGCTGGCTTAATATATGAAATAGAAAACTATACGGTTTCATAATATTCTTATCATATTGTATACATGTTTTGATGTCCTTAATTTTAAGTGTTTATTATTAGTTCAGAAAACAGAATAATGTCGGTGAAATCTTACATAACATAAACATATCAAACTATACGCATGCATATCATTAATTTAGACTTATTATTGTAAGAAGTATTATAATTTATTATCCGTTTTTGTCCGGTGAATGTACTTTGTAGATGTATGTGTACTTATATACATATATACATGTACGTATTATATATATATATGTATATACGTATCAATATCACAAAAAAAAATTACTATGAATATTTTAATGTATGAATGTTGAACGCTATGTGTTCATGTTTGTTTTTTGAAAATTGGACAGATATAAAAACATAAACAAATATTGAATCATTATTTATTGGAGGGAAGGGATTTCTGATTTTTTTTATGTATATATAATGTATATACTCTATTCCTATTGTCCACACACTAATGTCGGCGTAGCTCCACCATCGGTAGGTGCTACGGCTACTGTGACAGCATTGTGAAACTGACCACTTGATACAAGTCTCACAGTGGTCACGCCACACATTATTGTTTCCACGGAATGCTCTAGAAAAAGAAAAAAAGCAAAATATTCGATTTTTAAACCAGACGAGTTTAAATAATTAAATTAACATACATGCAAATACAGGTTTATATAATAAATATATATATATATTGTAATAATTTATTAGAATTACCCATTTCCGACGATTTATTTAATAGAGGTATATTCAGTGATAGTTCACCATTTAAAAAATAATCAAACATTTTAACTTTTTATAATGACTATCAGGAAAACTGTAAATGGTTTTTTATTTCATTCATTTTATGGAATAGTACAACAGACATATGTTTTTTATAAATGATTAACACATGTGTTTTGAAAATCTGAATAAAATATCAAATAATATTTTGGATTTCAATTAAGTACTATCTGTCGCAACTTCAATATAAAAAATAAAATATTAGAATATCAATTACTATAGGTACATTTCAACAGTTAAATCACATCCAAATTTTTATACTTTTTGAATATTAAAATAAATTTCCCTTGTGCTCTAAAATCCTTATATTCATAACACCTATTATTATTAATATGAAAACTTTATAAAATTTAAAACTTTAGTCGAAATTATATAAATAGTTTGAAATGGATTATGAAAACGTTTAAAAGGAAAAAATAATTAGACCCAGAATATAAAACATTAACCACGGTCGTTTAACTATTAGTAGCCCGGCAACCGTATGCGTACCTCAGGATAAAACAAAAAATGTTGAATAATGATATCGCTCTTTTATGAGAATATAATTTTATGAGACACTCATTGACTTTCATTACAATGCAATGCAATGCATTGTAGAAAATAATAAAATCAAATATGCACCATCAGTGATAAAAATAATATTAATAAGCACAATTCTCTGATCCGGCGTTTAGGACAGGCAATTATCGTACAAGTATGTGTAGAAAGAAAATATACATATTTTTCAATCTTATAGAACTTAAAAAAAATATATTTCTATATTTATTCAATAGTAATGTAAAATACAATCTGTCAAGCATTAATCTTAAACTGCAAGACAAAACTGTAATTATTCTGGCTCTAATCAATTTTCATAGTTAAGAGGAAGAAAACGGTCTAAACTCTAATATAATGTGAGATACAGTGGTTGGTGAATGGTATTGAATGTATCATTTTTTTTTAACTTAAAACCAATGAATCATTTTTCTTGAAAAAAAAATGATTCTGAATTAAAAGGTTAAGCAAATGAGTTTCTATTTCTATAAGCGATTGATTCAAATAGAACCAAAAAAGATAGGTTAAACTTTTAATAATCTATTAATCTCAAATACAAAGGCATCTAAAATATGGAAAATCTGAAAACTTCAAGTGCTTAACTCTTTCAGTCCCGAATTATTTTTTTTATGAAAAAAATTTTATTTTTGTGTTTATTGGATCATTTAGAGTATTTGTTATGTATATTAAAAAATTTTTGAATCTTAGACTTCTGGTTAATAAATCATAGTCATGGCATTGTACGAGGCCACTGAGCGTTAAGGTAGTCAACATTTTGTCGTTTATTTTGGTACAAATCTACAGTTTTATGTATTATTAACTAAATAATTAACAAAATAATCAATAAGTAAAACAATAACAAGTTAGTTTAACAAATGTATCAAATAAACTAAATTAAAATTAAAGAAATAAAAATTAAAATACTAGAAGTATTATACTATTGTGTGATAATCATGATAACGGTATCTCGAAATTCGAATATTTTGATACCACAAACACCCAATTGCCTTCCCGGAGGCCAAACAATAAACACATGTTGTGCACCGTTTGACGGTTCAAAGTACATTTCGACTATTTGTCGTTAATTTTATATATGTTATCATGGAGATTACAAAAAATCAGATTTTTTTATAACGACATTTGTGCGAATAATCAACAATATTCAAACTGATAACAATGAAATTCAAAGTTTATAAAAAGATTTTTTTTAAGTATGATTAAGTCTTATAAAAACAATTTAAACATGAGTTTTTACATTTTCAAATTGTTCTACACAACATTTTACCTATTATTCGCCAATAGATACGTTACTACCGTTTATAAATTATTTTATATCAATGTATGTACTTCATGGCCTTGTGGAAGGCCAATGGGACTGAAAGGGTTAAGAACAGCACAAATTTCGTCAAAATAATTCGAAACTATGAAATTCCATTAAAGTTTTAATATAAGTACTCAGTAAATGTATTGAGTCGCTATGATTATAATATTTATATGATATACAACTAAGTAACTAATATTAATGGATGGAAATTCATTAAAATATTCGATATCGTCAAAATTAAATTTTGTAACGCTTATAAAACTTCATTGCAATATCTCAGGAACTTTTGGTCACAAAAATAATCTTATGGAGAATCTTCAAGCTTTTAATTTTTAAGCCTGAAGAATAAAAATTTAAAGTTTTGTGTTATTAAGTTATTAAGTTTTATTTTATTACAAAAATACATATTATATAAAGTAAGTTCAGTATTTTGCAGAATTATTTTTGTAATTATATTTCAAAAACATATAAATTGTATGTTTGTTTGGTCAATTATAGAAAACTATTCATAAAAAACTAATGACAACTCTTTTTTGGTATACATATAAATATGTATAAATAAATAAATACCAAACATAGAATATTAATATATTTGTAATATAATAGCAATTTTATTGACTATATACCTGATGGTAAATTTTTTATTCAAAACTGGTCGTACATTATAAATATAATAATACTTCAAGTTAAGTATTTATTTCTATAAATATACTATTTATGTATCAACGAGTAGAAGAAACTTACTAATTTTTGTTTTATTTCATTACTTTATTAATTATTTTTAGTTCTTCTTATCATACATTTTAATCAATGCAAATTATTGTATAACCAATAAGTTTTATTCAACTGACCTGGTTCTGAATTTGTGCCGCAAATCGAGTCGATTACGGATAACTGGCCCAATCCGTCTCCACCACCCACTTGAACGAAATCTGGTAATCCTCGTTTATCACACTGCAGCATTATCTCGTCGAATTAATTATTTTAAAAAACGTAATTTTTTCAAATTTTTAACAGAAAACATTCATACCTTGTGAATCGTTCCCGTTTCGTGTTCGGTCGGATTTCTCTTTTGCCCGTGCCCAAGACCAACGCCCAACGAAAGTATTTTCACCTGAGCCGGGTTCAACATCGTTAGGCTACAGTTTACCGGTTTTCCATAATTTCTCAGTGTGTAAATGTCGGTAATGCCTTCCATGAGTATGTTACAAGCTACGAATAGAACACCAAATCATTAATAAAATTTGATAATATCTATAATATGAGTTTTCTATAGTAAAAATCGACATAAGTAAAGTACAGTTTATTAATGAAACACTCTCTAAACTAATATGAAATTTACTGTGAGTTTATTCCATTTATTCCATTTTTATTCCATTTAGTTTTATCACATTTTACTAAACACGCATAACGTATGCATGTAACTTCAACGAATAATCATCGACACGATTAAAATATTAAAACCGTTTACGCAGCCACCCAACCGAATGACTAAGATACATTAAAAACGTTTAGACTTAAAACTTTTGCAATATTAACATAAATCACTATCAAACAAAATGGGTGATATCTTAACATATGTGATATGCTTAAAATGATCATAGACCTCATTTAAGATGGAAAAATTGTTTTATTAAAGATGTAGGAATGATATAAGCTGATTGGCAACGGAGAGGAGCAGCGTAAGATAGAAATAGATGGAAGAGTATATATTTGGAGGGCTGGTATTAAAGGCTGTTACCTCTTCTAAAAAAAAAAAAATGTGACAGGCTTATTATATGTGCAAAATATTACTATAATTTATTACTCGTTATTAAATCAAATTCAATGATGTTTAAAAATTACTAAACAATTTAAACGAAATTAATATAGAATTTCAAGTCAATCACTTTTAAACATCATAAATATTTATTAAAATATTTAATAATTACATATATATATATTTAATGATACCACGTCGTACCGATGCGATCAGTATAAGATTTTATAATTGAAAAAATACAGTTATATTTCATGTACTACAACAAACATAACATTTTGTTCAAAAAAATGATTCCTTTTGTGTCTCCTCTGAGCACGAATCAAACAAATTTTAAACGTTCGATTCACCATTGATTGATAATATTGTATTTATCTACTTTGCATACGATAACCAAGCAGTACCATGTAGGCACTTTGATCGCCAATCCGACAGTGAAAACGACACCCAAATAGTACATAGGATCTATTCAATTTAAGTGACTTTTATTTCGGTCCCCCTAGTTAATTTTTACAATGTTTTCATCGTCCTCATCGTACATGTCTTTCCAATGGTCTATCTGCACTATGTTTGTGTGTTGAGAACGATTGTGCTCGGCTGGTAATTTTACACGAATGTTTTTCTTTTTTTATATATATATTCAATCAAAAATGTTTATTCGTACCACATGAGATCAATAATTTACCTTTCTCCATATATGTACCCTTCGACACAATTCTACTCAACTTATTATTTTCTATCCTTGTTCTTTTGATCACTAAACCGAAACTCGTTATGACAGCGTTGTTTCGTTGAATATAGTCTTTGGCTGGATAAAATATAATAAACAATGTCTATAAAAACTTTGTTTGTATTTAATTAGATAGAGATAGATAGATTTACACGAAAACATAGAATACATTTTATTGAAACTGACTTTTCGGCCGCGATTTTTATGTTTGTAATAACAATTGGACAATATTAAGTTAGTATTTAGGTAAGTTATGTTTGCAAACTTCATCGTCTACAGAATTATAAATAAGTTTTTTTTACTAAAAAATGGGCTAGATTATTATATTAAAAACTTATAATAAATATTGACTAATACGAAACGAGTTTACACACTCACTCTTTACATATTTTAAAAATTGAATTACATTAAATTGCATTCCATTATATGGAGCGGAAATGTTTATCGTTTCGAAAAATGTGTATATATTATTTTAGAACTGATTTTAGTTGAATTATGTAATTTACGAATATTTTAAAAATATCTGGTTTCCCAGAAACTATTTTACTACATATGCTTCAAAATGATATGTCCAACAAATTATAGAACATCCATTGTCAAAAAATTAATGTACTTTAATTATCGTATATATAAGCTTAATAAATAAATAAAATATCGGAGATAAATTTTCAAACGAAAATTGCTTTGAAATATCACATTATTTCTTAGATAATTGAATGCAAATTGATCCAAGTATCTCAGTCATCACATTTCCGTAAACTTTGAAATGTATAAACATGTTCCTGTTAAAAGATTTTTCAGAGTAATCATTATTGTCCTTATATTTATCTGTTAATTTTATGATGTATGATATTATGCTTCTCAGCAAAAACCTTATGCAGTAGAAATCACTATAACAAGCATCGGATAGAAGGAGATACTTATACCATGATAAAACGCTAGGTCTCAGCAAAAAAACCTACTTATCATATGGGATAGGTTATAATATACGTTTACAGCAAGCATGGTTAGAACGAGATATGGGCTTCAACGAGTAAAATAAAACGAACTATAATAATGACCATCTGGTTACTACGAGAAGGTTATTTTTTGGCCATTATTTGGCTCAACCTGCTCGTTATATTGCCAGTATTCTAAGTTTTTTATCTTTATCTTTATTATGCATATATTGGCTTATTAACAATAAATATGATTTCTACGAGGTATGGTGTTTTCAAGTTTATAAAATATATGGAAGTGTCAGTATGTAGTTATGTAAAAACATCCATCATGTCACGTCATCAGTTTACGTTGGGCGAAAAAATCGGTATAATCGGACGGTTAGAATATAATGAGAAAAACATCTTAATTGAAAATAAAATTGGCACCCATTCGTCAAGGATATATCAATATGGTAAAGTCGGGATAGATTGAAAAATATATTAATTAAATTATTACTTAAAATATTGTTAAATAATAGTTATTGCTATTCGCACTACAGCCGATAGACCAAAATAAGAACGATTAATTATCGCTAACAATGAAGGCTCGTTCTAAACGTATTTGTATACAACAAGCTACAAGCCGGATTCAACGAAAAAAACTAGCTGACCTTTGAAACTCGTTATGACCGATTTTTACTGTAATTTATTATATTTGTTGCTTAATTAATCAAAATTGGGAATTTTTATAAACTACATTTATTAGAGCATTTATTTATGTAACTTTTTCATGATAATTTAAAAAAATTTTCAACCTGTGTATCGTCACTTTTATTGATTTGAAAAGAATGTAAGGATATATTAGTGATAATACAAAATCACTTTACAAATTAAACCCACAATATTCTAATTAATGTCAGTGAAATATGATTATGATTTCTATAGTAATTTAGTTATACATGACTTAGATATGTTTATCTCATGAAATTATATTCTAAATCAAAATAAAAAATTAATCAAATAGTAATTCGATGAGGTTTTTATTCGAACTTAGATAATTTAATAATATAAGTAAAATATGCGACACATCTGTTTTTAATTAAGTATTGAATATTAAATATAATCAATAACATTATAATATCAATATAACATCGAAATTTGAATTAATTATTGAGAACAAACGAATGATGTATCTGAAGTTTTTCATAAAACATCAACAATTTACTTGCCTACAAATAAAAAAAGGTACTTATGATAGCAGGAAAAGGCAATAAATTGTACGATAAATTATCAACAAGACTTTGTTATAACGATGATAAAACGTTTTGTCAGGGTTATTTATAATTATTTTCAAAAGTAATATTCAGGTTTTGAATCGAATATAAAATAATGATTGTCATCAAAATTGTTTTTTTTTTATATAGATACTAACATTGGTGCGGTGATGTATTTGATGACGAAAAATTAAAATTTCTCATAGTAGTCATTATCACGAATAATGTTAAACAAATTACAACGATGGCGCATGGGACATTTAGACAGATACAAATAATTTTTAATGGCGTCAAAGTGAAGACCCGAAAACAACAAATTCACTAACACAAAAAATGCATACGAGTATATTTGAAGCGAGGCGGCTAAATTAATTATCCACGTTGTAACCATGGAAAAATATTTAACTCGACAATAGGGTAACGGAAATACGTCCAATATAACTTGTATTTACGTATTAAGTCGGCATGGGAATTATATTGTAATCATCATTGAAATCATATACGCGTTCATGTTGCCTTCAAATTACTAATCATATAATATAATTCCATGCTGTACAAACCAACGAGCTTAACCAAATTTTAAGAACAAAACATAATTTAGATGACCTGCAGTGATACGTGCATGATGTAGCTTTGGTCTATGAAAGGGAATTGTGTGCGCGTAATAAATAAACAACGCAGTTGCACTCAATGAAAATACCTGCAGGACTTTGCTAACTAAAAAATTATGTCACTGTGCATTTAAATCTATACATACATGTATAAATATGTATGATCTTAACACTCATTGAAAATTGATTGTTTCGGATTTTTAATTTTAAAACTTATTTCATCATTTATAAACAAAGAGAAATATTTTAGAATTTAGTATAATAATTCCCTAAAATATTATTTAACATACATTAACTAACATACTCGTATTTTTATAGTTTTTACTTTTACATTTCTTTAATGTCAATTAATTAACGCATTTAATATATACTTTAAGAACTATATATCATATTTATCTGTTTTTCTTATATAGTAGTGAAAGTATTGTGATGGTTAAATATTTTTTTTTTAAATCAACAATAATTGTTGAAATATTAATATGGCGTAATTATTATTTTAATTTTATTTTTCTTATGATAAGACAACATCATCATCGAATGCATAAAAAAATTAAATAGACAATCTATAAAAAAAATGTTATCTTTATTTATTATGTTAATATAGCACGCTATTATGAGTACGTACTCGTATCTTATGAAAAGTTGTCACCGAAATTGTTTTTTTTTTTTTTTTCTTAATAAAACTTATACTTTTAAGAAATTTCAATCAAAATAATTAATTTATAGTACCTCAAGATTGGAATAAACAAGTTACACTGGATGCATAATAAATTATATAAATTGTACCTACTTATAAGACCTGTACAGAATTCCGCATTAGTTTTTGGTCTTTCCTTCGGTGAGCGTACTGTTTGTATATTAAGGCGGTTTGGTAGGTACTCTATGCGTTTTGGACTCTACAAAACCTCCGGCAAATTTATCATAATTATAAATAAATGTTTATCTTGGGAGAAACGACCATATTAAATTTATTTAATGAAAAAAATTATCCATTTTAAAATATAGTATATTGTTTTTAAACTGTAATTTCTTAAAACATACAGTGTAACATGACTGAATCAAAAAAACTAAAAATAAATAAATAAATAATAATAATAATATTAATCAACTGTACAAACGTAAAAATATGACGTGCATATGAATAAGTTATAAAAATAAAAACAATTTTAATCATATCTTAAATTTAGTTAGTATACCAAATATTAATGACCTAGTTGACTACATTGGGACGTGATTTTAATAATAATGAAAAAAAAGTTCAATCCTTTTTGACCAAATGGCGTATATTTTAATCCTGCAACGTCGTTATATTTGTTGTGTATACAATACACAATGTAACGAAATATTAGGTTAGGTTACATTATTATTATGTTCACTGTCGTAATCTTCATTAATATTATACGTACGTGTAGGATTGTTGATGAATGACACATAAAAACTGAATCCGTTGCCCCTTCGCGGTACTCGGAATTGTATCAAAGCAGCATTTTGTGACGATTTATATACCTGTTTGCGTTTTTTTGTGCCGCAAATCTCGTAAAAACGCTCCTCCATGGGTTTCGGGTGATCCTGTTCGTTGGGAAATAACTGTCCGTTGAGTTCCCATCCATCCACAAACTGAAAGTATAAAATATGAATTATTTAATAATATATATGCTATTATGTAAAACGGTTCACCATACAATAAGCAAAAGAACACGTCATCAACTCTATAATTTTTATGTGCATATTTAAAAACAGTACATATGATGTATATCATATATAATATGATGTAATATTTAATTTTTTTTTTTTTTTTTTGTAATTTTTCTCATAAATATTTATTTATTATTATTTATTTTTTTCGTTTATTTTAGCTTGCACTACGTAGGCTATAAACTTATAAAAATTTACACAAAAATAATTAGTTATATGGATTATAGTATTTAAAAATTGTGATATGTGTTAAATATTGATACAATATTGATTGAATTAAATTAAGTTGTACACTTAAGCCAGCTGTTTTAATGTAAGAATTGTAAGGTTTTGCTAATTTAATTCTGGTAAAATCCAAATGCTTCGTATTTATGTTTTAGAATGGTATTAATATTCATTTTAAATAGGTGTTCAATAGAATAATAGTTGTTCTAAAATTATTAAACAATTTTTATAACATTTATAAAACACAATATAAGAATCAATCTTTAATGTTATTGTTTTATTATTGTCAAGAACTGGTATACAACTTTTAATTAAGTCTAATAATAATTATTTTTTTTAAAAATTATGGTAATAGTTTCAAAGAAAATAAACTAAGACTGTGCAATTTAAAAATAATAATTTTCGATTCATTCTAGGCTATTATCTTAAAAAAATTTCGTCATCAATATAAGTTATGACACTTGTTGCTAAAAATATGAAAATTATTCTATATTTATAGACAATTTAGTGCAATTTATTTTTTGCACACAACCGATTTATAAAATCATACGTAACTTAATTATGGTAATAGATAAAAGTTATCCAAGTTTTTATTCCACAGTTATGAATTCAATTCTATTTTTATAAAAGATTACACGTTCTATTAGCTAATTGAACGGGGCCTTTTTAACGGCTATAAAATGTTTTAAATTTAAAAACAACTTCATAGTATAATCAAAATATTTTCACGTTCACACCTGAAATTTAAAATAAAAATTTACTACATTTTTTTTTTTTTTTTTTAATTTATTATAATATAAATAAATTTTGGTACTCAATAAAAAACAAAATATCTGTTTCTATGACAAAAACAAAATAATACGATTTTAACTGAGAGTTTTTAATCTTCTCATTTATAGGAATATTAAAATATTATTTTCACGCACTGTACTTTATCTTTATGTTAATTTATTAGCTTATCAGATTAATAATAAACACAATATTTTAATTAGTTATTTTTACTATGAATTCATAAATTCTATTAATGAATTCGTAATTAAAAATAATAATAAAACTTGTGAAGTAGAAGTCATATCTATATAATATAGTTTAATTAAAAGTATTTAAGAGGACGTCACACCCGCATGTGTTGTCTCCGTCTGACATAGATCCTAAATAGCAAATTTGCGTTCAGTGATTCAAATGTAGTGATGTTAGATTTAATATTAGAGTAAACTTACCTTAATTTAAACTTTAAAGGAAGAACATATTAATGTTTTGTTGGTCGGTTTTTTCCGATATTTTAATTTTTTAGCAAGTTATGATGTTTTATTTTACATACTCATAACACGCTTAAAATTAAAATATGGAAAAAAACCGACCAAAAAAATACAGATAGTGTTTTTTCCCTTAAAGTTTGATTATATGCTAGTTTACTCTAATATTAAAGCTAACTTCACTACATTTGAATCACTGAACGCAAATTTGCTATGTTGTACGTATGTAAGACGGAGACAACACATGCAGATGTGACGTCCTTTTAAATTGTATATTTTTGAAAAATAACTTTTAACTCTATCAAAACCTAATAAATGATGATTGTTATATTTTATTGCATATTAATTGCATATTCACAAGCATTTAAAAAACAGCATTACTATCATGAGCATTTAAAAACAAATTTAACCGTTTATTTGAAAACATTTGTAAATTCATTTTTGTAATATAAAAAGGTTCTTCTTATTTTCATTATTTTTCTTATCGAATTTTGAAAATCTTAAAATAATTTATTAATTTTTCATTTATTTTTTGAAAGATACAACTTTTTCTTTCATTAGTTTAATAAACTTATTAAATAATACTAAATAAATTAATAAACTTATCAAATATCGATGTGGCTGCTATAACAATTTTATATTGTTATTAAACGAATAAAGATTAAACTAAAGTTAATTAAAATTAAACAATAAATGTATGCTTTTGTCTGTATATTTGTACTTATTTCATGAAGTTTGAACGCTGTTTATAAACTTGCTATTACTTAAGTTAAATGTATGATGAATGAAATATAGATTACCATTAAAGTGTTATCGTGCCATTAAGTACATTATATAATCATTGTATTTCATCGAATAATGCGGTGGTGATTATATTTTTGTATAAAATATATACTTTCGAAGTCATGGACCATATAATATAAATTTATTTTTAACACAAATCTCACGTTTCATTGAACTCATGATGTACAACTATTATAAAAGAATTTATAAGGTCCGTGACTTATATATTAATGTACATGTATAAATTTCTAAACGATTTCGAGTTCCTAGCTAATAGGTAAAATGTAGGTAGTTAACGATATTTAATGAAAACAATACTTATAAATAAAATTATTCGTGAATCGTTTTCAAAAATGAATTGTTGAGTTGATTAACCATAAACAATTTTTCAAACATTTGAGATACATCGGAAACTTTATTGGTATATTCTTAACAGTTATTTATAGATATGTTGGTCAATTTAGATTTTATTAATGTATTTCTGTGAGCTGACATAACTGGTGCATCAGATGGTCGTCGAAATTGTGTGTAAATTATATGAATCGCAATAACCGTGGATAAATCTTTGAAGAAAAAAAAGTTTATTGCGAATTCACTTTGGACATTTCGCCGTAAACACTTGTTTTCTCAAATAAAATCGAATACGTTCACGGTCGTCCGTATACACGTATATGAGGGACTCTACCAGCTCAAGTCTCCATATATATATATAAATATATATATATATATATATATATATATATATATATATATATATTATATATATATATATATTTAATACACTCGTAAAGATCTGCGGTTTACGAGTAAAATAGAATGATAACGTATCATCCACGGTGGATATTGGCAGCGGCGGCTTTGCATCATCCTCTACACGAAGCATGTAGATAAATATTCGCATACGATACCGCGCTCGAATCGTGTTTACTGCGTGGTCGCGTGAAATCGATACGCGATTATGTGTATAAACGTAAGTAATAATATTATGTAAATTTCCACGCCGGGAACCCATAGCGCTAAAAACCGCACACCATTACATTATGTATTTGATCAACGTTTGACGTATTATTCGGGAACATTGTTCAATAAGCACATACTACCGACGTGACGTTTGTAATATTATATCGTATGTGTGTGTGTGTGTGTGTGTGTGTGTGTATGTTTGACATGCACTTACTCGCGCAAATACTTACCGCTATTAAACCTCCCGTGTTGCACGGCACGTCTATGTAATCGAAGTACACGTGGACCGTCTGCTCGGGCTTCGATATTATGTAAATGCCGCACACGGTCGGGTCGTTTGTCTGCGATTTGTAGTACAGATGTCCTTCTTCGGACCACACGGTCATGCAGTCTACAATGTGATCACAACAACAACGGTACAATAAATAATAGTATAGACAAGCTGTCTTAGATATTATGATAACAACATCAGCAATAGTACATTTTTATTTATATTTTTTATTTTCTTCGACAGCACTCGGAAACACTGCACTGCTACACGGACCAATACACCAATTAGTCCGGTTGATATTATAATAGTGTAATGGTAATGAAAAACAGGGACGTGGTTGTGTCCATTGCATATGTATGCAGAGTACCGTTACTAACGCGGAGAACCCAATATCAATTATAATAAATTATAATTTAACGCGAGTGCAGACGGTATAAGTGTGCGAGATGATTACGCTTTGATACGAATCGATTAATTTATCTTCGGTTAAAATTATTGCGATTCATCGTTTTCTTTAGAAGTTTTTTTTTTTGATATTAATGCCCATATTTTTAACTTAATATATATATATATATATTGTCTCTTTATAAAAAAAAATTTATCAGAACTTAATTTTCGAGTCACGTGAACTTTTTATATTTTTTATTTGCATAACCAATAAATATGGTTATATTTCTAAAAATACCAATAAACTTAAATCGAATATCATTCAAAAAATGTATTAAACTACTTATTAAAGTCTAAAAATCAAAATAAATACTTATTTAGAGAGAGTTTAACCATAAAATGACTTGCGAGATTTGAGGTACTTAACGATGATTTGAGTCATAATAATATATTACAAGGTAAAGGATGAGTGAATAATCAAAGACGTAAAGGTTTATTCAGTTATGAATATTGTGATTTTGTAACAAATTATAACGCTAATACATTAAATATATACAATTTTTTTTTAATATACTCTACAACTATAAATTTCAATATAATTTTTATACACACTTTTTCAAACTAATAATATTTTACGATTTATCTCTCAAAAAAATTAATTTAATCGAATGTCGAAATCCTGATAAAAAATAAACCTGTACAATGATATTATTATTAAAATTTAATTCACTCAACGATGCGATTAGAAGTTCCATAAACACAAATTCTTGGATAAACAAATGCTCATCATTTTTGTGAAAATTCAATTTCAGTAAAACAAAATAAAAATCAAATGCGATTCAGAACCTCTTTACACTAGGCTTACAAAATAAATAAAACCTATAACAATTGTCTTCCACTCCATATATCGTCATCACATAAATTCCTATTGAAAATGTCGATCACACAGTTTCAACTGTTTACCTGTAATGATTTTTTCTTGTGTTCGGATCCGTTTACTTTGCACTGGATACAGCAGTGACGTTTGTTGGGGATACTAAAAAAAAAAAATTGAATTATCGTTCTACTTCATACAATAAATGTAGCTTATATATATAGTAAAATGTATATACTTTATTCACTGTTTATAGACCACATGACCATAAAAACTGTAACTATTACTTCAAATTTCAGAACTATCTCTATAAAATAAGTACGTTGCCAGTAGTTTGATTCGAGTTAATGGAGCTATATGTTATTATTACTCCAAACATGAGTATACTTCCACGAGAGCGTTTACTTATTATTTTGTTCACGTGTGTTCGTTTTTTGAAGTCAACATGGTAATTTGTATAGACTGTGAATCGCGAAAAAATAAATCTAAGCCTACAGAACCTGATCTTATTTTGTATTCTATAAATAAACATAGAACCCACCAAATATTTTAATAAAAACATTGTTTTTATTTTCCAGGATTTTCTTAGGATTTTCGTTTTAAATATTATCACATATCTCATGTTAAACAATACTGCCCTTGCAAAAAATAAAAAAAACAAAAATAAATGTACACGAGCATTAAGTTTCAGTTTTTATACTTAGAAGTACTGAATAAAAATCATATGCTATTGCGTTTTGTGTTATGATTCCACTAAAAAGGATTGTTTACAAGAATTTATATATGAATATTTAAATAATGTAAGAGGTCTACATTGCTTTGTACACATATGTTCCAAATATGAAGGATTTTTATTTTTGTGTGAGTATTTGTTCAATATTATGGTATTTTGTATTCGAAGTATTTGAAATAATATTGCTTCGTAAAATATATATATAAATACAATTTTAACAAGACTATTTTATGAAACATATAATCGACTTAAAATATTATTAATTTATTACAAAATTGAATTAAATCACATTATAGACTTTTAAGAATTTCCAATTGAAATCTGATCACAAAATGAGGTATTTTTGAACTTCGACGATTAAAATGTATAGATTCTGTTTTAGTGCAAACATAATGTTTAAAAATAGTGAACTTTTTTCATTGGACCTACATACATATAGACTATATATTTTACTATCGTATTTAAGTATACGATGTAATAAATAATAGTGTAGTTAGTAACAGTCGTACATGTGAACGACAATACGACTGACAAATTTGACGTTTGTAGTTTAGTATGAAGCCGATTTGTTTTCGTTGTCACTTATTATTATTTCAGTCGAAAAATTAATATGATTGAGAATATTAAGTTCTCCAAACTTAAATATAAACGATATGGTTTATTAAATATTAATATTTTCCGGAGCTTATTCCATTCAAAGAGCAACATAAGTTAAAAATTTAAATTGAATAACATAGAATGGGTTGAAAAAATTCGTATAAAATATAATAAGTTAAAGGAAATTTCATGATGTATATATTATAATTTTGTACGTGGGATCACAAATAAATTAAATTTATTGAGTTCAATAAAATAAAAAATAAAAACAAATTTATAAATATCAGCATTAATAAAAATTAAAGTAATAAAATTAATAATTTAAAAGTTTGTATAGACTGTAAACGTGGTATTAAAAGCGCATCAAATTCTATTAAAATGCAATTTATGACTATGTATTTATTGTTTTGTCCTATAACTTTTGTTTCATAATGTGAAACAAATGTTGAAATTACTAATCTCATACCATTAGATACAATATAATTTTACATTTTATTTCGTAGAACATTCACATAACTATCTTAATTTTCATTTTTAGTTATGATAAATGTAACTTTTATTTTCTGATATAGTACACCAAATCATTAAAATGTGAAAAAATAACGAACCAAATGTTGTATTTAGATACAATATTAATATATTGTTTACCATACAATTTTCTACGATAAAAAAATAAATAAAAATATCTTGACTAGTAAGGGTTTTGTGTTCTACATAATAAAATAACTTATATGTTGTATGGCTTGAAAATGTTCTATAAGGCAATATTATTTTTGGAATTGTTAAATTTTGAAATTACATAATCATAATAGTAAATATCACGATGTTTGGTGTAATACACCAAAGTTTAGTAATCATATTTACATTTTAATACTCTTCAAAAATTACCCAATAATTTAATATTTGATTTTATTTTATCCACATTTTCAAGAAAATAATTTACGTAAAAATATGAAATATAAAATTGTTATTTATAAAAAATATATATATATAAACCATTCTGTCATAAAAAATAAAGATATAATGAACACAAATTATATTGTTAACATTTTTTATAATATCCACCAATAAAATGATTAAGAATAATAGCTATAGATAGTAAACAAAAATTATAAACAAATTTAAAAATATATTTATATTTAAATATATATTTAATATATATTTATATTCTAAAAATATATTTAAAATATTTGAATTTATCTTTTATAAAATCCGACCACGTTGTAAGTCATTATAAAATAATTGAGCTTATTACATACGAACAACTCAATAAATTATGTAATAAAACAAAAGATTGAATATTCGATCAATAAGCGATATAATAAATAAGTAAACGGTAATAGGTTCAGTTTTCACATTTACAATAAAAATTAATTTTATGAAAAGTATAAAATATAAGCTCATTTATAATGAAATCAAGTCGTAAAGTTGTATATTTGATATTATTTTATATAACATTTTTACTTGATTAAAATATTTTCATATCAAATTCTTTCACATTGAATATTTATTTTGTGTAAATGAAAATCTTTATTACATTATAAACTTCTATAATAAAATAAATTACAAATAAGCTTTTGGAATTTATTAGATGGAAAATGCATTTTGATGAAGCTAAATGTTATATATCGAGTACTAATAAAATAACAAATGATACATTTTTTTTTCTTGTGAATCAACTTTATATTTGTATCAAATATAAATTCAAAATAACTGAAAAATAAATAATAATTTTTTATAACTTTGAGTATTTTTCTTAAAAAATAAAATTAGGTATTTATTCATTTAAAATAATACATTTATAAATGATTTACTGAACATTAGTAATTTTGTATATTTTATTTAGTTATTTGTTATATTTTGTATTTAACTTTCTTAATTCAGCAGTTATTTTTCATACGTAATATTATTGTAATTTAGTTCAAATATTTGTAGTTATCTCAAAAAATATATTTATCAAAATATTAATGGATTTTGTTAGTATATGACGTAAATTGAAATTATATTATCGTATCTAATACATGCAATTTTAAAGAGAAATATATTTATACAATTATGTACTAATAATTTATAGTTCAAATGACTATAGTCTTTTAACTATAGTCTTTTTTTATAGACTTTTAACTTTCTATAGGTCGCGTGGGGTAAATAATCTTCCAGCTTAAATATAGACGTCATTAGCAAATTCAACACAAATAGTAAGAAATGGATTTTATGTAATGTATTACATAGAATTTATAATATAAATTAAATATTATTCGGGTCAATTTTCATTTACATAGTTTGTATAACAATATTTAATTATTTATACGACATTTTTATATAATAAAAATCAAATATATTATAAATAGCTAATTTTATTTTTTGACAAGAAATAATTTTTTCGAACCCAATTCAAACTATCAAAATAGTAAAACAACAGCTTTGTAATTCATATAAACCAACTCAAATCGATAAAAACAATAAAACATTTACTTTTGTTGACTAATGTTGACTAACTGCACCAATATTAAGAATCTAACACCAACACATAGAATAAATGAAAACTGTATTTGGAATCATTATAGTGTTCTATATATTAGCATATTGATTAATGTAGACACAAACAACAAAACAACATGACAATAATGTTAATCAAAAGGACCCTTTACACTCTGCATTAATTTTCCTTCTTGTTTCATTATAATTTATTTTTATTTTATTGGTGTTACATTGAAGGCACTCGTTTTTTAAAACCCTGTTTTCTCATTAAGCTAAAATTCTATTTTTCAATTACAAATAAACTAAATAATCTTACTACTAAACCATAATGTGTCTTATTGCACATTATTTGTATGATATAAGAATATCTATTGAAGAAAAATCTTTAGTGAAAATCAAATTAATTAAATATTTTTAAGTATGTTAAAGTTTATTTCATAGTAATGTGCTCTAAAAAAAAAAAAATTGAGTTAATTTTCAACCTGCAGAAATGATTTAAGTGTAAAGAAAGACAAACTGTCTTAAAATAAAATACCAGTTGCTTCTTTAATATTCTAATGTATTTTTTAATAGCATTTAAATTGAAATTATTGAAACCTACACAAGCTGGTGCTATAATACCATGATTATAATTATCCTTATTCTTGATGAATATAATTTTTTAATTAAATATTCTATAAACTTGAACGTATTTTATTAATTAAACATAATTATCAATATGAACTCAATATCATCTATAACAGGGTTCTCCACACTTTTTTTTATTATTAACATTTTTTTATACTTTGCATCAAATTATGTTGTTCCAATTGTTCCAACAGCTTCATTTGTAAAAGTTCACACTTAAGTCAGTTCTATACTTAGATTTAATGTATTTAATTTTTGATAACAACTGTTCACATAAATAAGTGGAGTTAAATATTGAAATCATTTCACGTGTACATTATTTCAGATTTTGAATAATATTAAAAAAATATCAATAATTTTCTATGTTGAAAAGCTTGACTGACTAGAATTGGCCTACGGGCCATAGGTTGGAGACCCCTGATCTATATTATAACCCATACAAAAATGTAAATTTAAATAAATTTAAAAAAAAAACATAAACGTATTGAAAAAAAAATAAAACACAACTCACCAATAATATTGTTAACTATTTTAGTATAAAATATCAAAATAATATACCTAAAAAATTCGTAAAAATTCTAAACAATAATACTAATAATGTGAAAATCGCTTTTAAAACTAATAATAAATTATTGAACATATAAATAATACAGCTAAAAACTCCACAATAAATCCCGTTTAATTTTAAAATTCTAGTATATTTAAACATAAATGTAGTTTTAAT